AATGACATTGTTTTGCTTGTTTATTGTTTTTGTTGGTGGTTTTAGTACATAAGGGTTTTGAGGAAGATGGGTGAGATTGAGAAGCTGAGACAAGCAAGAGAAGCTATGAATGAGATTTTTTTTTCCATTGACCCCTATTATGTGGCAAGAGTGGGCTCAAGATGAAGCTTCTATTTCAGCTGGTTATGTTTTAGTTTTTGCATTTTGTGGTCTTGTTATTGGTTTCATGATCAAATTTTGATCGCTTAGGGTTTATGGTTAACGAGAGAAAGTATAAAGAGAAAAATTAAATGGATTCATCTAAAAGGAGGAAGTGTATCTTTTGGGGTTTAAATGGTGAAAACGATGTTGAACTTAAGTTTATGTGACTTCTATCTACTGAGCCTTAGCTCAAATGTCAGCTTAATTGAGTAAAAGAAATGAAGTTTTGAGCTTTCTTCCTTTCTATTTTTTTTTTTTTTTTCATATGTTGCAACTAGGAAGCAGTGATGGTTGACTTGGGAGGTCAGTTTTCGATAATTTGCGGCTGTCTGATATTTCGTTTGTTTACAGATTTTGAGTTCCCTCTTGTCATTGCTTTTATGGACAGCGTGCTTACCCTTTTGCAAAACTCATTTCTCTTAGTATAAGTATATTAGTTTCTCCAAAACATGAAGCTCAATGTTCAAAATCAGTTGGTGATCTTTGGGTTCGATCTTTGCTTCCTTTGGAACGCTGTCGTGCACCTGAGAAAGAGATATCTACTATAAGTTTCAGTTGTTACCCTTCATCTATTGAGAATTATCAGAGATTGTTATAAGTAGCTTAAGAGCAATGAAGTTTCACAAACTTTAGTCTTGTTTACTCTTGTTTAAAAAGATTTTTATATCATATTCAAGTCTTTGAGAAGTCCCTTCTATGCACTTTTTCGACCATTGAAGAGGTAAAGATATCTTTTCTCTAATTTGCAGGCTTGACTTACTATTCTTTGTAACTTGTTATTGTTTCATCTACATTTTATGCATTAAAGATCTTTGTTAATTGGATCCTCTTTGTTTCAGTACCTAAACTTATTCCTCACTCGAGTGGATGGTTTGAGACAAAGAATCCTTTTTCTTGGAGCAAAAGAGGATGCACTGAATTTTTCATTGATAAGGGAAACGTTTCATGCTCGCATATGTATACTGTTCATTTTTCCTTGTTAAAATTATTTTTACTCGATGGCAAGAACTTGAAGCTTCTCAAAGACATTTGTAGATGCTCTATTCATGGTGAATTTTAGATGAGAAAATGTGGGCCTTGTAGCTAGTCTACTCTTTCAGGATAGGCATAGATCTCTTACGAATGTGTATCAAGTGCTTCTACCCTTAGACTCTAAAGAAAAGTCTTTTAATTTACTTCATTTAGTGTGCTATTATAGTACCATTATGGCCACTTTATGTAGAAGTTACAGTGCATAACTCTCAATACTCTGAGATGGCTTTTGCTAATTGCTAGATTGTTACCTTTGTTAATTGCTTTGTCATGGAATAGTGTCCTTTGCTAAAAAATTTCTCATTTAGCATTAAAGTTGCATGCACAGAAGATATCTTTATGGATATGTGAATTTATAAAATTTGCATGTCATATTCAACTGGTACATTGTTGTTGTATAATGGTTGTTTTCAATATTTGTGTTTATAAACAATTAGCTTGATGTCTCTTTAGTGTACCATTGAAATTGTAGGCCCTGTATGATTGGATCTATTATATATACTTGAATACTTGACTGTGAAGTTTCTTCCTTTCAGCGGGCATCTGATTACTTATCTCAACAGATGAAGAATACTAATGGTTTGCTGCATTTGTACGCTTATTGGGCTCATTTGCAGCTAAATTTGGGAAAAGATCAAGCTGCAGCTCGGGGCTTTTGGAAGAGCCTAGTTAAGATTTGGTTTGGCTCATTCATCTTTTTCTCTTTCTTATCCTGTATAGTTCAATATGATTGATTTATGATTCATCTTTGTATTTTTTCCATATAACTTGCTTTTTGTCTATGCAGCGGGTCAATGTTGGAAGCCTGGCAAGGTTATATAGCTATGGAAATTGAATTGGGACATTTAAATGAAGCTAGGTCCATCTACAGGAGATGCTATAGTAAAATATTTCGTGGGACATTTAAATGAGGCTAGGTATAATTCTTTTACATTACTTGCTTTTAATTATTCTAGATTGATTTATGGACAGGATTTGAATGTGAAAGTTTTTAAACTGGTTTTTTCCTCCTTCCTTATTATTATTATTATTTTGGGAAAATTATTGCTTTTAGTAGTATACAATGCAACTTTATTTAATCAATGGATATTTGTCATCTGCAATGCAAACATTTCTTTCTTTATTCTCTTTTTGTTGCTGATGGAAATTGAAACCAGACAAATGACATAAGTTAAGGTTGTTAAAATGTTGTTTTTCTAGTAGGGCAATTTATGGAGATCTTTTGAACTCTTAACATAGAATCATGCTTTACAGCTGAGAATATTTTTAGAGAGTAGCCTTGCAATAGGTCAACCTGTTACTCGGGCACTAGAATCACAATGGTTTAATATGTCATTTTGAATATTTTTTCCAAATCATACGTAAATGATATATGACCGTATCTCTGGGGATCATGCTAGTTGAAAATCCATGACGTTTATTTCTTTAACTTCAAACTTTAGAGTTACTGATACTCTGATGAAATTGTGGCATATATGAAGCAATCACATTTAAACCATAGGTAGTATAGTAGTTTTTGAATCACAATAGGCTGATATCTTTTTCCACTTGGCTTATTTTTTCCAATATGTTTGAAGAAAAGTTTCTTAATTCAAGCTTTACTTTCCGAGTTTCATGTCAAAATATGCTATAGGTTAAATAAAACTTATTGATGTAAATAATTTATATGAACTATCATAAAGTCATCTAAGTTCTCTCTTTTCTATGATCAATTTAGGGTTTAGTGATAACTTAATAGAGTATTGTAGCAAGGTGGTCCACACAGTCTTGTGTTGAAATCTCTCTATGAGATTTGGGCCAGTTTGGTTTGTGATTCAAAAATAATTTTGAAAAACCAAGTTACAATTAAAAATTTTAAGTTTTATCTCTGCATTTTAAATATTTGAAAATATATTTTTTATTTTAAATCTCTTTATGAGATTTGGGCCAGTTTGGTTTGTGATTCAAAAATAAATTTGAAAAAATAAGTTACAATTAAAAATTTTAAAAGTTTTATCTCAAAATTTTAAATATTTGAAAATATATTTGGTATTCAAAAATTGTTTTTGAAGTTAAAAACTATATAAAGACTGAGAAATGATACTTTTCTTGTTTTCTAATTTTACACTAATTTTTAGGATTATATGCAAAAACATTGTTTTGAAAACATTTCTACTTATTTTAATAAAAACATATTTTCATAAAATTCCTTATATTCCTTGTTTTCGAAAATAAAGCACTATTTAAAATTTATATCAAATAGGCTCTTATTTAGATTATAAATTTGTATTTGTATTTATGTTATATTTATGGTTGTGATTGTGGGTGTTCAGCACACAAGATTGTGTTAAATTTTAAGTATGGTTGTTGGATGCTTAACTATCAATTTAAGATTTTAGGTCAAGTTGTTACGTAACATTGTTAAAGATGTCACTGAATTATGATACATCTGCTTAGTATTTATTGAATGTATGCAATCCTTGCTACTTTAACCCAATGTGTAAAGATGCTTACCTTTGTTCCCCTTCTCAGATTACACCACGCTTGGAAAAGCTGCAATTATTTAGGTTACAGCAAGAAGCCAAATCTGTTCCTAAACTAATAGATCAAAAAGAGAAATCACATAAGAAAAGTGCTAATGGAAAGAGAAAAACAAATTCGAACATGACTGACGAACCGTCTTTAGCTAACTGGCAGAAAAATACTACCCAAAACCCAAACAAGGTGCATGGGAAAGAAAAGGGAGAGCATAGAACTTAGTTGAAGAAAATGAAGTAGAAACAAAACCCAAGTTTGAAGAGCATCCAAATGACTAGCATATCAAAGACTCCACCACTGGAAGAGCCAAAGGATACACTAACAAGTGTATTGCATTTTTATCAAACCTTAACTTCAGGGCAAGTAGAGATTCTCTTGCACTTCAGAGAGAGATTGCTTTTTATTCTTTTTTAATGTTGGATAGGCAAATACGGAGAGATAATTCTGTTGGTTTTAAATGTTTTTCAGGCAACTTCTGAAGATCTGAAAAAATTCTTTAGCGATGTTGGTGGGGTTGAATCTGTTCGAATTCTGCAGGACAAGTTCATCTGAAAGTCAAGGGTATGACTTTGTTTCTTTCATTCATTATTTGTTAATGTTCTTTGTGCTTTATGCTTCAAATGAAAAAGGGGAAGCTATCCACTGGACCTTCCATGTGCACATCAGTCTTAAAGTCAAATCCTTATTTAATATTGCCTAACCTTTAAACTTCAACATACGTATGCATAATGTGGACTGTACCATAGAAATTAGCCATAAGAAACTAATTTTAATGAGACTAAGGGATAGCATGGCTGATGCTTCAGGGAAATTGAAACTGCTAAATGCAGTATATTCCCTTTGATCAAATTTCTCAATGGTGCTCACTGAAACTTCAATTTGATTTCTTCCTTTCATGCAGTCAATAAATCATTTAGTTCTTATGCTTTTGGTTTTAAGATGAATGTGCTTTCCAGATATGATTATGCACTCTCAAATAAACCTGCAAAAGAATTGAATTCTATAATTATGGTAAAATTGCTGAATTTTCTAATTATAAAGAGTTTCACTGTCCAAGAGCATATTTTTTTCATTTTGATAGCAAGTGATATGCTTAGGAGACTCAACCATAGTCCCATACAGATTTACCCATATTCCAGCTTGCCTTTAACTATAGAGCATTTGTCTGGGACCGTTGCATACTAATTTATAATATTCTCTGATCGATTTTTAAAGGGCCCGCCATATGTGGATTTTGCCGATGATGCATACCTTGCTGCAATTGTAGGAAAGAACAAACAAATGTTTCTTGGGAAGAAGATAAGCATTGTAAGATCAAATCCGAAGCAAAAGAGAAAGGATTCTGCCAGTCATAGGGCCTCTGGAGAACATGGTAGGCTAAGTGGAATTATGTTTTATCTTTGTTATTACTTGTGTGTGTTTGTTTATGTCTAATGCAGTCTATAGACGTTCGTTATTACTTCTACATTTCATTTTCTTACTCCTCTGGGTTAAATGGCAGCGCAAAGTAGTAATCAGACTTTCGAGGAGTCTAGAGCGCCACACTCTGCTGCTAATAAACGTAGTGTTAACATTCAGCTGAAGGGGAGGAACACATTTGCAATGCCAAGGAACGTCAGACCACTTGATGTCCCCTCGACAAATTCAAAAGCCAGGGAAGTGGAAGATGGGAAGCCGAATTCAAATTATGAGTTCAGAGAAATGATCCTTAAGAAGTGAGGTTTGTTCCTGAGGTTACTTAACAAACTTCTCTTTCTCATAAAAAAACATGAGGTTTTTCCTTAATATGTTTATGTAAACAAAATTATGACAAATGATACCTGTTTGAGGACGAAAAATCTATATCAGTACCCTTCTTGTAAATTTTCTTCCAGATATGTCAAGTTTATACCCATTTTATTCAAAAAGGGTACAGTTCTAATATGTTTCCTGTGGTACAATTATTTCATCCAATTTATGATGAGGATAGCCTCAATACCTTACCCCAAGATTTAGAGAAATTTTAGTCAATTAGATGGCGATCAAGTTCCTTTTTATGTGACAAATGACTAATGGTATAGAATCCAACAAGATGATGAAAACTATTATGGGTTGGTGTTCTATTCTTGGTCTAAAATAAGATTGAATACTCACAGTGCAACTGTTAGGTTCTTTGCTTTTCTGTACCTATTGATTATTTTCTAGCGGAGAATCCATTTTACTATTTGTCATAGATGAAAATCCTAATGCAGAAAGATGGACCACTAGAGCACTATTGAGTTTGTGTACTGAAACAGCAATGGCCTTGCATCTTATACTTGTGGAAAATGTGAAAAAATTTCTTTGGTCTGGAAAATGTCTGAGGAAGAGTATGAAGAATATCATCTGTATGCTCGCTCGATTAAAATTTCTGCACACATATATTCATTTTTATTGTCTATTTTGAATGAATATATGTATCTCATATGATTATGTTTGTTTCACTTAATTCTTCATGATTATATTGGATGCTTTCATAAAATTTCTCGTAGAATTGAGAATGGGGTTTCCACTTTGTACATGTTAGATTATGAATTAGTACCAATCTTCAAAAAAGATCTAATTGTTTCACTTTCTATTTTCGGAATGGAATATTTACATAATCCCTATAAATAGGATTAAACGTTATTCCATGGTATTTGTATGGTATTCCTTCTTAATTTTAAGCGAGTACTTGAGAGGATTCAAGTGATCTACAAATTATGTTTCATTTTTCGTTTCTTTTATGTACTAAGTCAGCAAGTGCGAGATTCCCCCCGGCGACCACTATTAACTTGTTCCCCCATGGGCTCTTTCCCATGTTGCCTCCTGGAATTAGCTTGTCTTCTAACTTCATGCCCATGAGTCTCATATTTGGAATTTGCTAGCCCTTTTCTCATATTTGGAAGGGGTATTAATACAAGTTTACACCAAAGGAAGTAGAGAGAAATCTGGGACTGCCATTAGACTTGGCAAGCGATCTTGTGATTTTATTGATTGCGCGCTAGGATTGCGCAAATATTGATTCGTTCTTATCCCTCCCGAGATGTTCAAGATAAGGCTTATCCCTTAGTCTATCGAATAGTTGTATTGGATGGTAGCGACAAGGTTATGCTAAGTCAGACTTCAAGATTCCATAACCTTGAGATCACGTCGATCTACTGATTTCCGGGCTACCGAGACTTTCGAGCTTACGACAAAAATCACACACAACATAATTTTTTGTGGTCATGTTTTGCACTTAAATAATATTTTTATAAAGGAGATTAAATTAATAGTAATCATTTTGATTAAGCATTATTGAAGTTATAAAAGTAGTTATGTTCTCGATTGACGTAAAAAAATTTTAATCAATAAGCAAACACTGATTATAAATGTTTAACATTACAATTCATGGGTTCCCTTGAAATTAACTTGGCTTCTATGAGCATCGTGATTAAACATTATTAAAATTATCTCATAAAATTAGTGGTTCATAGGATTAACATAAAAACAAAGAGGAGAAGATGGAAAATTTAATCAATAAAAAACAAACAAATGTTAAATAAATACATAATGATCCATCCACTACCATTGAGTAAGAGAAATTAATTGAAAGAATTATCATGTCAAAACATTGAGAGAAAAGTTCAAGATTATGTCTCATATTTCATTAATTCTCTCGCAGAATATGATGCGTTGAAAAATTAGAATAGAAATGTCTTATCGCTATAAATTTTTTCTCTCTTCTAATTGATTCCATCTATTATTGTAAGTATAGTCTCTAATGAACTTCAAATCTGACATCGCTGCCTCGTGGCACACCTCTAATAATAGTCTCTAATAAACAACATAAATACGGATTTTATAAATGAAGAAATTTTAACTAGAAAGGGATACAGACCTAATGTTGTTTGCTACAATACTTTAATCAGATGGTACTGCAAGAATAAAGAAGTCAACGAAGTTCTTAGTCATTATCAAGGGAAGATTTTAGAAGGAATTAGGCCTAATGTGATTATAAATAACAATTTGTTAACTTGTCTTTTTCTTAAAGCTAATGTAAAAGATGCACAGAAATTAGTTGGTGAGATGCAACTTAATGGTTTTACCTTCTTCTTAGACACATAGCATTTTCATTGATGGACATTGCAAGAATGGATGTGTTTTGGAAGAAGGGGAAAAGTTTCATACTTTAGTAAATATTAAGTTTGCAGTTGACCTTGAAAGCTTGAATTCCCTCTTTGATGGATTATGTAAAACAAGGATATCTGAAACTGCTCGGTAGCTATTTTAGAAATTTCTCGCACTGAAAGCCTAGTGCCTCAGAAATTTTGTAATAGTTTTTAGAATTTAGCTTTGATGGATACCATTATTTCCAAATTTTACAAGCAATTGGGGTCAAAATAAAGATTACAATGTTATAAGAAGCACATTCATAACAGAAGCTCTTTACTGAGATATGTGTATGTGTGACTGTCTAGCATTTTCATTGATGGACTTTCAAGAATGGATGTGTTTCGGAAGAAGTGGAAATGTTTCATACTTTAGCAAATAGTATCAATTTTGGTATATTTAAAAGTTAGAAGAACAAACAGAAAAAAAAAATTATATATCATTGTAAATTAAATACAAAGTTCAATAGCATGATTTATTTAAATATTATAATTTTATTAAAAAGAACAGTAAAATTGAATACTTGTATAAATTGGTTTGTTTGATCAACTGGATAATTTTGGATTTAGTAGAAAATCAGCTCAAACCAAAAAACACCTTAAGGTGGATTTACATTTTTAACCTTCCAGTGAACAATTTTCGAAATCATAAACGTGGTTTGAATAGGAAAGATCGATACTTGACAAAATTTTGAAATTTTGAAAACCTTGAAGGTTGTTTGTGAAACTTGCCAAAACATTTCTCTTTAATGCATTTGCCTTTTACAGTGACCTTACTTCAGAAAAAACACTCTTCATACATGGCTTTGAGATTTAGATCCCCAATTCATTCATCTTCAATCTCTCAAAACCCATCTTCGAAAGTTAATGTTTTATTTTTGTTAGCTCACTTACACAACCTTACATCTTCAAGCTCCAAAAATGAAGTTTCGTATTCTTTCAAAAAACCCCTTGAACGATCCTCACTTGCTAAATTCCTCGAAGAAAATAGTCGATCAGGTAGCTTTACTCTGAATGAAGCATTGTACTTTTTTTATTACATGATTAATTCGAAACCCCTTTCTCCAATTTCATCATTCACTACTCTGTTTAGTGCATTAGCTAAGAAGGAGCATTATTATGAAGTTATTTCGCTATCTAAGCTGTTGAATTCGACTGGGTTGTCTCCAGATTTAATGTCTTTGAATATTTTGATCAATTGCTTCTGTAATATCAAAAGGGTTTCTGATGGTTATGTGGTTTTTGAGGAGATTTTGAAGTTGGGTTTTAGCCAAATACCGTGACATTTAATTGTTTGATTAAAGGTCTGTGTGTAGAGAGAAAGATTATGGAATCAATGGAATTGTTTAAGAAAATGATTGTTGTTGGTTTTAGGGCTTATGTGATCACTTGCAACACTTTGATTGGTGGATTGTGTAAAACAGGGAAGATAAGTGTTGCCATTAAGTTGCTTGAAGAGATGGTTAATGGGAATAAAGAATCTGGTGTTATTTGTAGGCCAGATGTTGTTACTTATAATACTATAATTGATGGTCTTTGCAAGGCTAGATTGGTTGAGAAGTCTAGACAATTATTTTGGGAACATATGATTCAGAAAGGTGTGGTTCCTGACATTTATACCTACAACATTTTAATGAACAGTTATTGCTTGGCAAATAGAATTGGTGATGCAAAGGAGTTGTTTGATTCTATAACTAGAAAGGCGTATAGGCCTGATGTTGTTTGCTACACTACTTTAATCAGTTGGTATTGCAAGAATAAATAAGTCAATGACGCTCTTAGTCTTTATCGAGAGATGATTTCAGAAGGAATTAGGCCTAATGTGATTACATATAGCACCTTGCTAACTGGCTTTTTTCTTATAGCTAAGGTGAAAGATGCATGGAATTTAGTTGGTGAGATGCGACTTAACAATGTTTTCCCCAATTCTTGGACATATAACATTTTCCTTTGCAAGAAGGGATGTGTTTTGGAATCATTGGAAATTTTTAATGCTCTAGTAAATAATAAGTTTGCAGTTAGCATTGTAGGTTTGAATTCCCTTATTGACGGATTATGGCAAACAAAGAGGTTGGGAACTGCTTGGGACCTATTTAAGAAATTTTCTCTTCACGGAAACCTGGTGCCAGACATTGTAACATATAACATTTTGATCAATGGGCTGTGTAAAAATGGACAACTAGAAATGGCTAATGAGTTATTGTCATATATGGAGGAAAAAGGATGTGCTCTAGATGTAGTCACATTTAATACGCTTATGTTTGGTTTCCTCAAGAATAATGATAGCTTTCCTGATCAGACATACGATACATGATCTGTCTATGTTGTAAGTACATATATTGGAGGTGGCAGCATTGCAGGTTGCTTTTGGATTTGCACATGTAGTAGATCTTAAGGTTTTGAGGATTATTTTTGGTGTAAATTTCAGTAAATGAAAGTTGTATATGAGGAATGGAGGAATGGTTCTTACTTTAACTATGACAATATTGGTAGCTGCTCAAGTTCATCTATTCAAGCTAATCAGTTTGCTGGACAATGGTATGTTGCAATTGATTAACTTCATTCATTGATATTCTCAATT